ATGTGTGGCATTAATTCACTCAATAGATATTTATTTAATGGATACTATGTGCCAGGCACTTTTGTAGGAGATATAGCCAGGGCTAGTTTTTAGCTGGTATGTACAAGTACAGCCATTCAAATTTTTGACAGCTGGCATCTGTTCTGATTGGTCAGAAGAACAATCTTTGACTTAGTGAATGCCAAATATTTTTAATACTATCAATAGATACAGAAAGTGTACAAAGTAAACAAAAATCTCTGACTTCATGGAGCTTTCACTCCTATCAAAAAAATAGATTAAAATACCACAAATAAACAAAATATATACTTTGTAAGATGTTGACAAGTACTTCAGAGATAAATCAGGGAAGGGGACCGAGAAAATGCTGATAGGGGTATGCTATTGAAATATAGAACAGGTTAGTTAGGGAACCCTCACTGGCAGACAGCATTTGAATAGACTTGAAGAAGATAAAAATTGAGTTGTATTCATATTTGGGGGAAGAGTGTTCCTTGGAAGTAGGAATAGGAAGTATAAGGCCCTGAGACATAAGCTTGCCTGGTGTTGGAGGAACGGCAAGAGGATAGTACATCTAAAGTGCAGTATTATATTATATAAGGGGAGGGTCAGACCAAGACATCTTGTAGATTTATCTCTGAGTGCAATGGTAGGCCACAGTTAGAGTCTTAGCAGAGGAGTAATGTAATCTAACTTATATTTTAATAGGATCATTCTGAAAGCTGTGCTAAGAATAAAGAATAGCAAGGACAGAAATAGGAGACCATTAGGAGGCTTCTGTAATAATTTAAGCAAGAGGTGATAGAGGCTTAGAAGACAGCAGTAGCAAAAAAAGTGGTGACAAGTGGCTAAATTTTTGATATGTACTAAAAGTAGAAGCTGAGAAAATTTGTTTACAGATAAGATGTGCAATGTAAGGGAAAGAGAGGAGTCAAGACTAACTTCAACAATTTTAGCCAAAGCCAATGGTAAGATAAAAGGTTCTTTTCAGATAGTTTGGAGAATGAACAAGTTTGGAAAGTTAGAGCAGGAGACCAAGTAGCCAGGGGATAAGGAGTTGGGAAGGATGATTAGCAGAACACAGAGGATTTCTTTGGTTAGTAAAACTGTTCTGCATACTATAATTACTACCTGACATTATACACTTATTTAAACCCACTGAATGTACAACACCAAGTGAACCCCAAAGTAAAATATGGACTTTTGGTTATAACGATGTGTCAGTGTAGGTTCATTGACTATAAAATATGTGGTGTTCTGGTGCAAGATGTTGATAGTAGGGGAGGCTGTGTGTGTGTGTAGTGGCAGCGGGTATATGAGAACTCTCTGTACCTTCTGATCAATTTTTATGTAAACCTAAAACTGCTCTAAAAAGCAAAGTCTACATTTTTTAAAAAAGAAACAGGCCGGGCATGGTGGCTCATGCCTGTAATCCTAGCACTGTGGGAAGCCGAGGGAGGAGGATTCAGCTTAGGAGTTCGAGACCAGCCTGAGCAAGAGCAAGACCCAGTCTCTACTAAAAATAGAAAGAAATGAGCTAGACAACTAAAAAAATATATTAAAAAAATCAGCCAGGCATGGTGAGCACATGCCTGTAGTCCCAGCTACTTGGGAGGCTGAGGCAGCAGCATTACCTGAGCCCAGGAGTTTGAGGTTGCTGTGAGCTAGGCTGACGTCACGGCACTTTGGCCTGGGCAACAGAGTAAGACTCTGTCTCAAAAAAAAAAAAAAGAATGTAATTGTTTCATTTAAAATTTTTATAAATTTAAAAAATATATATAGAAAAAGAATAAACAATTAGTTACATGATCCATGGAAATATTTATACTTTAGAATTAGGTAGAAAAAGAGACACCAGCAATCAAAACTAAGAAGAAAATGAAAGAAGAGAAAAGCGATAAGCATAAAGTAATAGAAAACTGTATGTGTTTCAAGGGGGAGGGAACCAGTAAGATTGAAATGTGTTATTCTTAGGTTGATAGGGATGTTGAGTAAAATAATGAATAATAAGTATCACAGGTTTATTAACCAACAGAGGTCACTTATCTAAGAAAGATTTGCTTTCACTGGAATTACACTGGAAAACTCCAACTGTAGGAGGCTAACAGTGTGTGAGAAAGAGTAAATTAATAAATGAAAAAGGAAAGAAAGGCAGTGTATATGAAATTTCTTATCAAGTTTGTTGTCTGAATATTTATGGCTAATCTAAATTCATTTAAAATAAATTAAATGTCCAAAAATGTGTTCTTGAAGAAATCAAATTTTTAACATAAGTGGATAAAATTTATTTTAAATGAGAAAAAATGTTTTCTTTTTTAAAGTAACTCTCAGGGTATATACTATTATCACTCTAATTCAGTCCCTTAACCTATTGGTACCACTGTATTTTACTTGTTATTAGGGAAAATTGAAAACATAAAAACAGGAGAAACAGTGCCATTTCTAGCAAATTTAGCTAGTGTAATTCCATGTGACTCCAAAAAGAATACTTATAAATGATCATCAAAAATCTATTCTTACACTATATCATAAGCATAATTTAGAAAGAATTTTCTGGTTATTAGAATAAACAAAGACATTATTATTTGAATGACACTAGATTATTAAAAAGTATTTCTGTGTATGGTAACTGATTTTGCCATAATCATCACTTTGAAAAGTTGTATGTAATATACGACCATTAACTTTGATTTTTTTTCTCCAAATATATCTCTAGAACTATTTCCTTTAGGAATTTCAGTATAATTCAATGAAAGAAAATATGAACTTTACAGTTCCTGTCCTATTCAAATTTACCTTAATTAGTGATATGAATAATTGTACTATTTATAATAAAATGGTAGAAATATTGGCATACTGAAAGCTTCTGGAGACAGTGATCTTTTAAAAAATTGTTTCTAATGCTCATTTAGATACTAAATATTAAATCAGTTAATAAACAAAAAATGATACTTATAAATGAGTTGTAAAAGATAAGTATATTGCTCAGAAAGAAGACAAACTGCTTACTCACCATATAGCGTGGTAATCAACTTATCATCCATCACTTATATGGCAACTTACAGATTGAGTTGATGAGAGAATTTAAAAAAATTAATTCTTCCTCCTATCCTCACTCTACCAAGAATTTAAGCTGGCTTAGATAATGGATAAAGTTACAAAGGATGAAAAGACAATAGAAAAATCTGAGACTTTTGTAAAAAAAGATGAGCAACTAGAGAAGATTTTAATATATTCATCAGGATTAAAAATGTAGTTACGTTTACATATTATTTTAAATTAGTTAGTCTACAGAGATTTCTATTTTATGGGGGTTTGGTTTTTGTTTTGAACTTCCACATCTCTTCTGGTCTACTACTTACTTCCTTCCACTTTTAAAAGAAATGTTCATCTATTTCTCTCCATAAATAGTAGCTGCCATTTGATTAAATTGAACAGAAACACACAACCAGAATGCCACAATAAAGACCATGAATTTTTATTTCAGATCCCATTTTATTTATTTGTTTGTTTGTTTGCAGAGACAGGGTTTGTTGGTTTGTTTGTAGAGATAGGGTCTTGCTGTTGCCCAGGCTGGCCTCAAACCCCTGGCATCAAGCAATCCTTCCACCTAGGCCTCCCAAAGTGCTGAGATTACAGGCATGAGCCACTGTACTGGCCTCAGATCCCATTTTAAATGGAAATAGCCATATCACATTGAGCACATGAAATCTATCCCCTAACATCGATACTAAGTTAGTACACATTATGGAAGCTGCCTTTCAATGTTGTTTTCTATTTTGCAAGTATAGATTTTAAAAATGATTATACTTCATTTTCATAAAATACTAAATTCCTCGGAGGTAATTAACAAGAATCACAGTAATCTATAATTTGTCCCTTTCTCAGTTATTGTTCTGCTCTATCCATCTAAAAATTCAATAGAAGTAAGAGAAAGCACATTAAACAATAATAACAAAGCTATTATAAGCCCACAACTAAGAATTTCAAAATGAAGCTATATAAATTTTGTGGAAAAATTGACTTCTACCAAATTTTATACTACTTGGACAGATTAAAAGTATTTTCCACATTAAAATGTCACAATTTTCTTCAATTTTGGTAGATGATTTTGGCTTAGTAAGTTAAACTGCTAATGCCATAATATTACTCTGTAACCCACAGCAAAAAATGAATTTAAGACAACAAAGTACAATACAATCTTCTTGGTGGCAAATCTTTCCTTACTGCACAATAAAAACAATGATGAATCTTTTCTGTTTCCCATGGATTTTCTTTTTTCAATCTGTTAATGAGAACGCAAGCACCTTGAAGGTAGAAACCACTACCATGTCACATTATACTAGGAACTGGAACAAAGACAAAGAGTAGAGTGGGAAGTCACAAGGATCTGAAGAAAAAATATAATTAGTAGAATTGAAATAATGTCCTTTTTCATGATTATTGGATCTCTATTACAAGGAGATTAAACTCCTTGTCATGAAATGTACAGTTCACTCGTTTCAAGTTATAGTTAAATTTATTATCTTTCTTCCTCTTTTGTTGTAACATTCTAAGTACTCCTTCATTTACCAAACATATCCACATATTATTCAAGAAGTGTCAGTTCTGTGGTTGACTAAAACTACAAGTCATTTAACAAAATTATTATAATAAATATCGATGCAAAGCAAAGGCCCGTGATTTAATTTTTTCTTTTAGTATGGTTACTTTTTATTAACTACAAAAGGTAATAATATAAAAACAGAATAAACATGTACCAAAAGTTATTAATATACCAGCACTCAAAATTCAGAAAATATGTTGTTTTCATGTACACATACATGAAATAAAATAATACCATAACAGAAGGGTGCTGTATCTGTGTTTAAAGAAGGGGTTGTTGGCAAACACCACAGCTCACTTCTGCTGAAATGTACACAACTGATATATGCAGCACAGAAAGCTGGCACCAAGGGCTTACAACCTTAATTTGCCTGCAAGAAGGAATGGAGATTTACCTTCAGAGCACGTTCTTGATTGTTTTCAGCAGTCAGATGTCTCATGTTGTTTGCTGAAGTCTGGTTCTGCTCTTTCAGATGATGAAGCTCCTGCTCTAGCCGTTTGCACTGCCGCAGGGGAAGAATCCCATTAAGTAAAGGAGTTATAGCATTTTTTTCACTGAGCCACACGAATTAATGTAAATAATATCATTGTATTCTCTATAAGACAAGGGTTTTTTTGAAACAAGAATGGTAAAAGTAATGTTAAATGCAAACAAAATAAAACTGTTTATAGTTTTCTGGTAATTCAATTACAATTTTCAGTTAGTTTTTTGCTAATCTAAATATTATGATACAAATCATAAAAATACTTACTTTCATAAAATTAAGGTTAAACTATATTTAAAACCATTTTCTTCTCTAACCAAATGGTTCAGATTATCTATCTGTGGAATAAAAGCATGCTTCTAAAAAGCATGCTTCTAGATTGTAAATAAACTACAATATGATATTCTAGGATCAATTTTATCAATATTTTAAAATAAAAATTATAAAATATACATTCAGAGATATTTCAGATTTTTAGAAATATCTGAACAAACAATTTTATCAGGAAAAAACCAACAACCAGGGTGCCACAAGACTTGGAAACAGATAAAGAGTTGAGTGTTTTTACAATTTCTCCTGTTTTGAATAAATCTCACTTTTAATTAAACAAGTGATAACATGTGAAATAACACTTTCACCTACTTAGAATACAAGTAGAGTATGAGAGAACAAAAGCAAAAAAGTAAAAAATAAATTATAAGTAAAAGTATAAATGGGCTAATAGAAGTATGTATGTCCAAAAAATTATTAAAATATCTTGTAATTTGAATATAAGATTTCAATATGAATATATAAAACATTTTACACAATAGTTACACATGCTATAAAATGATATGCTGCAAATCAGGACAATATGAGATTGGTTAAAGGAATAAAGTGCTCAACCCATCTTTTAGGACAAAGTTAAAAATCGCTCCTTAATTTATCTATTTTTAAATTAGGATATTTAAGTAATAACCAATGAGTACACATATTGATTTAAGATGTGGACAAAGTTCTTTCTAGATTATTTAACAAATGGCTACTTGTCATAATGAATCAAAAATCATTAATTATGATACAATCAAGATGTAGCTGTAATCCAAATTGGCATTTCTTACTACTCAAAGGTTGATTTCTTTTGCTTATCTTAACATTATGTAACCTGTATCAATATTCCCCAACTTCGAGTAATATACAAATCCTTCTAATAGAAAAAGTTACATCATATTCCTGATACTTCAATTGCATTATGATGTTTATACACAAATATAAAATTGAGTATAGACATCTCATGCATATATGCATATATAATACAATTATAAAACAAAAACACATTTATATATAAAAAATAACCACAAAATCAAGACATTTCAAATTAATATTAATTTACCAGATAGTTTTGTTGAAGCCAAATTCTGCAAATATGATAGTCTCTATCAGTGGCAGATCCTTTTATATTGTCATGCTCATTCTACCATGTGCTGTATGACAACTTTAAATTCATCTATCACATTTTTTAAAAAACATCATGTGAAACCTTTGTGACATGTATCATTTGGCTTTATTTGGAGGGGACACATGATCTATAAACTTTGTCTCTGTTCCATTTTAGCCTTAACAATCAAAATATTTGGTCATAATGCAAATAAAACACAAATATGTTTAGTGAAAACACAAATCATGAGCCCCCAAAATGAGGAAGACATAGCAGCAAATGAGACAATAGACAGATTCTCTACTAGAATTATCCTTCACACGTTCAATTAATCTAATACAGAATTATTTAGATAAATATTAAAAATGTAATGACTAAATATGATCTGAAATGTAAGGTAGATTATTTTGGTTATGGGAAAAAAAGAATGTTTCATGGAGCAGATGACATCTGAGTCTGGTGTGTTTAGGTACATAATTTTGTAAGCCAAAAATGAAGAAAAAATATATAAGAAGAGGAATGATGGTGGAAAGAGAGATATATCTGGAGTGAGTGAAGAAGCATGGTCAAGAGTTGTCTGACCACCTATTCTTTTTATTCCAAGGAAACTAGAAATGACACATGAAAAGAAATTTTTCTCATCTACATGATACAAAAATAAAAAGAGAATTCATTCATCTTGCTCTAGAAATAAATGTTGAGTTTATTTTCACTTCTTTATAAGGTTTAAATTTAACATTGACCCAGGTAGGATGCAAACTTTCTCAACCAAAGAATAGCTTTGCAGTTAGTAAAAATATATATAAATGTTCCTGTCAAATACATATTTGTGATTTATATTTAAATATATTTAAGGTTGGAGGAGAATCAAGATGGCGGACGAGAAACACTGCCAGAAAAAGTGTTTCTGCAGAAAAGACAGATTCTAGCAGAAATTAGAAAAAAGAAGCAAGAAGGCGAGCATACAGCAGATGAGGGCCGGAAGCAGGGGTACCTGAGACCCCGGGAGACTGCATGGGAGGAGGCTGCGGAGGAGAACTGGAAGCTGAGACCGCCTGAGCAGCCCGGAGACCAGCGGGAAGGGTAGGTGGATAAATCACCTTCCCCTTCCCCTGCATTTGGGACTGCTGGTGGGCTCCCCAGTGGGTGGAGAGACCTGTGGACACCAGCCCAGAGACGGCCGCCGCCAGCTAGCAGTGAGCCTGTAGTGGACACGGCACCAGACTCCCAAATCCCTCGGGGCACCTCCGTGTGCACAGACCCGAGCCGCGCGGCAGGCGCCATATTGCCTCCTTCTCCCCTCCGCCACCCCTACCTGCGGCTACCCAGAGAGACAATACAGCCACCGGCTGGGGTCACCTCCAGGGAACAGGACCTTCCCTTTTGGGATCCTACAGATGACTAAGGGGAACTCAGACTGTAAGCTCCCTACCCGCCAGCTCTCCCAGATGCTGCTGTCATGGTGTTCCCAGGAGAACGGTGCCGACTCAGAGGCTGAGAGACACAGACACAGCTTGGGCTCCCTGTGGGTGAATTTTCTTGGATTGTGGGCACTTGGGCTGTTTCCACAGCCTTGAAATTATGAATTGTGCTGCTATAAACATTCAAGTGCAGGTGTCTTTTTTGTAGAGTGTCATTGGATCTTTTTGGGTAGATGCCCAGCAATGGGATTGCTGGATCAAATGGTAGATTCACTTGTATCGCTTTAAGGTATCTCCATATTGCTTTCCACAGAGGTTGAACTAATTTGCAGTCCACCAGCAGTGTAGGAGTATAGAATTTTTTTATTTCCATCTTGATTTCTTCATTTATGAAGTAATCATTTAGTAGGAGGTTGTTTAAATTCCACGATTTTGTGTAGAAATGTGAGTTTCTGTTAGGGTTGATTTCTACTTTTATTCCACTATGATCTGAGAAGGTACATGGTATGATTCTATTTTTTAAATTGCTTGAGATTTACTA